GTACACCTGGTGTACCATGGTGCGGTACACCTGGTTCCGCTCCATCCTCACCTTCATACGATCCTATCTCCAGTAGAACGCCACTCTTCTCCAGCTCCAGGAAGTCCTGCACGGACAGGAAGATGTAGTCCACACCAGGGATCTCACCGTCTCGAGGCGGGCGAGTTGTACCTGGAAAAAACAAAAAAAAAAGATAAACAACCTCACGATAATAAGTAGACAAACGTGGCTATATTTGAAGGATGGATGTCATGTCGGATGCATCCATCCAGACATCCATCCATGTATTTTTCGTGTGTTTTGTTAGAAGTTTATCTTCATTCACACCTGGAGACGACAACTGACGCTTCCTCTCTGTGTTATGACAGAACATACAGGCTGACTGTCCTGCTACAGTCGGACCATCACCTCACGACACAACTCAACAACCAGACTAACTGTCACAGAACACCAGGAAACACTCAGTGACGTTAGCACGTTAGCTAAGTGTCCAGTTAGCTGTGACGAGCTAACATGACAGTCTTCAATGGACTCATTCATTCACTGGGAGAAAACACTTCATGTTAGCATCAATGGGAAAATGGAACGCCGTCCCAACTGGGAATCAGCCCAGATGGAAATACAGGCAAACTCAGCAGAGAGTAATCTGTGTTCTCCAGGGAGTACCCAGCGCAGTACAAATACACACAGTACTTGTCTTACTCTCGTACAGCCCACATGTACAGGGTAACTGTGATGATGCCCTGGTCACCACGACGGAGGGAGGATTGACAGAAACTTTCGTTGTACAATGCAGTACTTCAAAGTATTTTTCTGTAGTATCACGCTGTACTCCGTCTGCTGCAGAGGCAGTTGTTGGAGAAAAAAAAACAAAGCTCATCTGAGGATGTGTTGATGTGAAGAATCCTACGCCGAGCAGAAATATTACGTAACTGTTGGAGTATTTTCACATTCAGCTACTTCTCTCCAGAAATAATACATATAGAAGTACCACGAGCTACGGAGGCTAACACTGCAGCACACGGAGCGTTAGCTCAGACGCTAACCACCACACTTCTTCCCTGTAGCGTCAGAGTGAAGCAGATTCTGCGGCCATCTGGACACTGAATCTTTAACAACTCAGGTTTTCACTGTTCCTGCAGCCAAACAGTTCTGCTCCACATTAGAACTGTTGATCAGAGCACGGACCAACACTGGGTCAGAACCAGGCCACCGAGGAGCGGAGACACTGTGTTCACTGGGAACTGGGTCCTGGCTGCTGCAGTACAGGGTTGAGGGTTTGTTTCTGTTGGCTTGACTGGGTGACCTTGGTGTTGTAAGGCAGCGGCACTAACCGCTACTCCACTGTGTGTCCCAGTAAACACTGTTCTGTCGGTCGTGAAACACTTTCCATCAGTTTGGATGGAGATGCAGATGTAGTACTGTGGTGATGTAGTACTGTAGTGATGTAGTACTGTGGTGATGTAGTACTGTGGTGATGTAGTACTGTAGTGATGTAGTACTGTGGTGATGTAGTACTGTAGTGATGTAGTACTGTGGTGATGTAGTACTGTGGTGATGTAGTACTGTAGTGATGTAGTACTGTGGTGATGTAGTACTGTGGTGATGTTTGAAACCTTCATGAACACACACACCCGTGCAGCCAAACATCTGCTGTTTTTAACCCCTGCTCCTGATGAGTGGGGGGGGGGTTAAAAACAACCTGGGAGTGGGACCACTAGTGGTCAGATCAGGGTATTTCATTGTTTTACATCTCTTTATTTAAACTGAACATTTCTGTCCGTGTCCTGAGAGAGAACGGTGACGGCGTTGGTGACGGAGACAAACAGTGAGCAGGGAGACAGGGGGAGACAAACAGTGAGCAGGGAGACGGGCTCCAGCCCTCCTGGGCCTCTCAGCCTGTTACTGCAGCAGCACTTGAACGCCTCATCAACACAAGTCGTCCTCTGACACACCGTCAGATGACTGGAAGTCTGCAGTACCACTACTGACCACTACTGACCACTACTGACCACTCACCACCCTGGAGACTGAAACCAGAACCCTCACCCTAGCCCCCCCCCACCACCACCATTAACATGACTGTCCGTCTATAATGGAGATCAGATAGACAGATATAAAGGAGATGTGGGAGGAGCTCCAGTCCTGATCCAATCAGAGACTGCCGCTCAGTCTTAGCGTGATGCTACAAGTTAGCATGTCCTAAAGACAGGGGTGTAGTTGGAGTCAATCATCTGGTGTATGATTAACCAAAGACACTGAACAAATGCTAATGAGGCCCAGTAATAAAAACAGAAGAATGACAGCGCGGGGGGGGGAACCCTGGGTGAGGAACTGCCGAGGTTAGGGGTGAGGTTCTCTCCCCCGGGCAAAGAGTTCAAAGTAAACTCAGGTTTCAAGACGTCAACGGTGGTTGGTTAGTGTCGAGCAGAACCAGCGTGAACCAGTTCCACCTGTCGTCTTAGGAATGTTCTAGAGAGTCAGGACGGGGGCATCAACGTCTGCCCCAGGATGAAGGTACGAGGCACCAAGAAACTGTGAAGGGGCAGCAGTGAACCAGGGTGGTTCAAACATGGGCTCCACTTCTGTGAGTCCAGGTCTGGTCCAGATGCAGCTGCTGAGCAGGACTGGAAACCAGAGCCTGAGGTTCTTCTGGAGAACATTCTGGAACATCTTTGTCCTTGTTTGTTGACATGAAGACAACGTTGGTCAGGATGACCGTCAGACAACAGCGTGAACATCAAACACACAGACAACAGCCATGTTCTGTCTGTGTTCACACACAGGTTCATGTTGTTGGAGAAAAACCAGAGGGTCAAAGGTTTGTCTTCTCTGGCTGTGATGATGGAGTCCCTCACTGTAGAGGGGGAGAGAGGGGGGAGAGGGAGGGGGAGAGGGTAGACACACAATACTACTGCTGCTGCTGCTGCTGCTGCTGCTGCTGCTGCTGCTCAACAAAACAGTCCATTCTTTCAGCTCGCGCCACA